TATTCAACTCTTATATCTACTATACATGTATAGTGGACATTCCCGGTACATACAACAGACGTCCTCTAGACATTTAATGGATGTCCTTACAACATCTTCAAAATATCTTATTTAATGTAAAAAACATCAAAGCTCGAATTTCAAATATATGTTCATAATGTATATCAGAAATATATTAAACATACGTAACATTGAATTTTGTGGTCCAATCCCGAATATGTCTTTCGGATGTCTTATAGACATCTTACCGCAGCTACGCTAAAAATAAAACGTCATTCGGAAACGTTCTATGGACGTTCAAGACATCAGGACGTAACCAGAATTTTTGAGGACATACTTTGTCCAAAAGACGTCTATGTATTGTACGGTTAGGGTGTTGCGGGGTGATCCTGATTGATCACGGCTCGATTGGACACCATCAATCACAGCGACCAGGTGCCTAGGAGCTTTGTAGTCTCAAGCGCTGTGAGTGGCTCGTGTCCAATTGAGCCGTATCCAACTGAGTGCCACCCGGGTGTTGCTAGTACTGCTAGCATTGCTTGTTTTATTACTGCCGCAATATATTTTTAAAGAAATATACACTGATTGCCGTAGTGGTTGACCTCTCGCTACTCTTTTTTCAGTGTACGATAAAGAATAATGCTCATAATAAACAACCATGCATATCTATTCGAAAACTTCCGTGTCTAATAAATCGATAATGGGTTGAACTTCTGAAAACGAATCACGCCTGATTGTTATGAATTTTGGCAAAAATACTCTAAATGACATCAAATGAATAGCCTTAAATGGATTTTCACCAGCGTGAAGATTTAATGTCAAAAATGTTTACATAAGGTTTGTTCGCGTCGCATGCTCCAATATGCTCCTACCATAGTTCCTACTTATTTCAACATGGTCGTTGAAGTGAATAGGAGCTATGGTAGGAGCATGTTGGAGCATGTGACGCGAACAAACCCATAAAGTTATGTGTCGCTGGAATGGAGTTTCGTAAATGTTGTCTCCGTGCCTAGGGACACACGACTTTTCACGCGAAATAAGGTCCACCCTATTCTCCTCCCCTTCCCCCCTGCCAAGGGGTGTGCGACTTTCCACGCGAAGTATTAACTTCCCCTCTGCTAAGACCGGGGCGCGCGGTTTTCCACGCGAAGCGACTTTCATCCCGCTCCCCTCTCCCCACCTCCCTCTGCTAAGGAGCATCCGACTTTCCAAGCGAAATGAGTTTCATCCCACCACCTCCTCTCTGTCTAGGAGCGCACGAAAACAATGTTGCCAATTTAGTGATTTCCCCGTTAAATATAGCGGTTTTTATGTTAATTTGATGATAATGATTTAAAAGTAACAGCTAGCGGGAAATCTAGTCATTTTATTTTGCAGTTAAAAATGGTCTAATATAAACATCAGGATCGTCCTTGCCATTGGCTGTTTAATGTCACTATATTCTTGTCCAACGAGAGAATATACTTCGGGCTGCGTAATGCGAATAGCGCCTAGTGGTGAAAGTAGGAAGAGCATTGGCCAATGGCATTAAGAGGAGAGACTTTCTGCTCAAAACGCTGGCGGCGGTGAAATGAGGACAAGTTTTCGACATTTTCGTCCGATCGAGGTACAATCGTACAATGTACATTCTCTCGTTGGACAGAGTATTTAAGTAGATTCTACGTCTGTGATTATTGATCTTATACCAAGGATATAAATATAATATCATATAGAATATAGAATAATACAACTTTATACAATAAATATTTCACAACTTTATGTAATAAATATTTAAAAATAAATATTTGTGATCACGTAAAAATATATAAAATGTACAAAAAGGTTTATAGCGTAGAATTTTATTACATTTAAATAGAGTGCGCGGTATTTTATACTTAATTATTTACTTATAACTATATTTATTCTGTGAAAAAATTTTAGCGAATTTTTAGCGGTTTTTATGTAAAATATGAGGGTTTTCTAGTGATTTTTTAAAATGAAACTGACGGTGAAACATATTTTGCGTTAGCAACACTGCACGATGAGATAGATCTTCTTGGTGATCAAGGCCAATATCAAGATCACTCAGAAGTATTTTAGAGTGAGCTATAAAGGTAATTAATTCTGACGATATATAACTTTATTTAAACATTTTTGGCATTAAACCTACTTATCGGTGAAATTCCATTTAGGGATATTTATTTAGAATATTTCTGTCAAAATTCATAGCAATCAGGCGTGGGTCGATTTTGGAAGTTTATTCCAATAATGTTCTCGGGACTTTGTCAGATTCGAATGGCTCAGTATTGTTTACTTTACAAATTTTAACGCAGAACAAAATATCTTGTCTCAATGTAGATGGGGTGATCCCGATTGATCACGGCTCGATTGGATACCACTAATCACAGCGACCAGTGCCTAGGAGCTTTGTAGTCTCAAGCGCTGTGAGTGGCTCGTGTCCAATTGAGCCGTGTCGAACTGGGTGCCACCCAATGTAGATTAGGGACCTTATAAAGTTAGGGGAAAGAATGTAAGAAATTACAAAATAATGTACCTGCTTATTTAATATAGTAAATATCCGAAGTACACAAATTCAGTTCAAACTTCGCAGCATATTACTGGAATGTCGCGAAGACAGATACATCTTTTTACAACAGTTCCCAGGTAGCAAAATTTGTCAATTTGACGTCATATTTTGGGTCTTTACTGACCATTACTGACGTCTTAATGAAGTCAAATTGACGTTCGAATGTCGCAAACGATTGACGTCATCGGTAAGCCATCATTCTGACGTTATATCCTTTATTGACCATTATGCTACCTAACAGGCGACTTATGACGTTAATATGACGTCACGGAATGACGTTACGAAAATGACGTCAGTATGCCGTCACGAAATGACATCATACTGACGTCACGAAATGACGTCGAATAAAATATATGGTCACTTTTTGGTCACTTGACGTCATTTGTACCAACATGACTTGAATTTGACGTCAAAACGACGAACTTTGCTACCTGGATTGGCACTACTAGTATCAACTATGGTGGAAATATATTAGGTGTGTTTGTTTTCGAAACAAATTTTGTACCGTTCTGCGCACAACCAAATGTGGCCATTTTAAACATTTACATCGCGGTAACTTTGAAGTGACATATCGCGGAAATCGAGTATGTATTAAGTAAAAATGTGTATAGTTTCTGAAAAAAAAAAGGATCCAGCAATTTACATTTTTGTTTATTTTCAAAGGGAAGAATCCTACCCTGCCTGCACTATACGTAACAGAAACGTGTTATTTTGGTCGCAAAGTCGCAGAAAATATGTAACGTCTCTTGCACATCGCAACGACGTGAGTAGACGTGCTATTTTGGTGACAAAATCGCAGAAAATATGTAACGTTTTTTGCACGTCGCACAGACGTGCATAGAGAATATAATGTATAGTTGGCAAAATTGATTCTCAAAGAATCTATGGCAGTGTTTAGCGCGGATAAATATAGGAGTCAGATTGGATTGAGTGTACAAATGATAGTGTACAATTAAAAAATAAGTAATTGTTTTTTATTCTTTTATAATTATAATTTTTGTGTTTAGTTTCTCTACGCATAATATTCTCTTTCCGCTATTTTCTGAATAATACTAATCGATAGAAAATTTGTTGAGGATCCTAACCCTATTTGCTACATTAACAGCTTTCAATATTTTGACATCGAAGACTTCATATATGATATATGACATGATCATAGATGAAGCCTATTAGATAAAATATCAGGTTAAGCCTAACCATAAGTTAACTTAACCAGATAATGAAAAACGATAATGAAAAACCGAGTCTTAGGTCGCAAATAGGTACTCAATACGTTGCATAAAGTCACAAATATTCGTGTCAACGACGTGTCTATTACATTTCGAGAAGTCGCTGCGACGTAACGTGTGACTAGTTGACACGTCATAGAGACGTGTTTGTCACGTATTGTGCAGGCAGGGTAGATAGCAAAATTTGTCATTTTGACGTCATATTTTGACCATTACTGACGTCTTAATGAAATCAAATTGACGTTCGAATGTCACAAACGATTGATGTCATCGGTGAGCCCTCACTTATATCTTGGTCTTTTATTGATCATTGTGCTACCCAACAGGCGACTTATGACGTCAATATGACGTCACGGAATGACGTTACGAAAATGACGTCAGTATGTCGTCACGACATGACATCATACTGACGTCACGAAATGACGTCGAATAAACCTATAGTCACTTTTTGGTCACTTGGCGTCATTTGTACCAACATGACTTAAATTTGACGTCAAAACGACGAACTTTGCTACCTGGGACGTAACATATACCCAGGTAGCAAGATGTCGTCTATTTAACGTCATTAATTAGTCATTCTTATGACGAATGTGACGTTTAAAATGACGTCGAAACGTCGTAAAAATGATGTGGATTTGTCACAGGTACATAACGTCATAAATCGACGTCAAAAATACGTCGTTTTTTTCGTGTTATTGACAGTAGCAAGGTATCGTTAATTTGGCTTCATTAATTAGTTATTCTTATGACGAATCTATACGGTTCCTGAGACGAAATGAAAATTACAAAAATGGACAAATTTGCAGATGTTGAAGTTATAAATATTCTAGTAAATTCAATTACTTTTGTAATTTCCACCTCATTTTAAGAACCATAATAAGTTCCTTGGCGTCTAAACATCGTAAAAATGAAATGAATTCTTATATTTCTTATCACTCACATACCGGTGTAGAAGTATGAAACCGGAATTTCCCTATATATGGCACTAGCTATCAGTTTAGGGACTCCAAGGCCGCATCTGCAGCGCCATCATCTCTCTCTAACAGCTGACGAAGATTTCCAACACACAACAACCCAAGTTCCATACACCGGTATATTTTTTCATAACCTTAAACATGTCGAGTTTTGTGCCTACGAACTACGATTTGCGGACAGCATTGGTTTTCTGTTATCATTTGAAGAAAACTGCTGCAGAATCGCATCGAATGCTTGTCGAAGCTTACGGTGAACATGCTCTTGGTAAAACACAGTGTTTCGAGTGGTTCAAAAAATTTAAAAGTGGTAATTTTGACGTGAGAAACGAAGAGCGTGGGAAACCACCGAAAAAGTTCGCAGACAACGAATTGCAAGCCTTGTTGGATGAAGATGATACTCAAACTCAACAAGAACTCGCGGATCAATTGAATGTGACGCAGAAAGCCATCTCCATTCGTTTGAAAACTATGGGAAAAATTCAGAAAGTGGGAAAATGGGTTCCGCATGAACTGAATGAAAGACAGCAAGAAAATCGAAAAACCGTTTGTGAACTGCTGCTCGACAGATACAAAAGAAAGTCATTTCTCCATCGAATCGTGACAGGTGATGAAAAATGGATATATTTTGAGAATCCTAAGCGTCGGAAATCATGGGTGAATCCAGGCGAACCATCAACATCCACGGCAAGACCAAATCGCTTTGGAAAGAAGACAATGCTCTGTGTTTGGTGGGATCAGAAGGGTGTAATTTATTATGAGCTGCTAAAACCTGGTGAAACCGTTAACACTAATCGCTACCAACAGCAAATGATCGATTTAAATAGAGCATTATGTGAAAAACGACCGGAATATGGTAAAAGGCAACACAAAGTCATTTTGCTTCATGATAATGCTCCATCACACACAGCAAAACGAGTCAGGGAAACGATCGAGGCGTTCAGTTGGGAAATATTAGCGCATGCGGCTTATTCTCCAGACTTGGCTCCGTCCGATTATCATCTATTCGCATCACTGGGACACGCTCTCGCTGAACAACACTTCAATACGTATGAAAATGTACGAAAATGGCTCGATAACTGGTTCGCGTCAAAAAAAGAACTGTTTTTTTGGCGTGGCATTCATAAACTGCCGGAGAGGTGGGAAAAATGTATAAATAGCAATGGAGATTATTTTGAATAAAATATTATTTATCATTTTCAAACAACAGACGTGTAATTTTTACAAAAAAATTCCGGTTTCATACTTCTACACCTGGGGGTAAATCATCTAACTTTCCCCCTAGGGCGGAAACGTGAAAAGTGAAAAGTTTCACGTGAACTCTATGATCATCTATGATTTCGGGGGATCATGTAACTTTCTCAACTGTGAAATGTGAAATTGTTCACGTGAACTTTTTAGCCAAGGACCGTGGTGGCGGAAAGACGGAAATCTAGGGAATTGATAAATATACTTCGGAACTAACATGTCTTATCCTCCGACAATTTATTTCAAGGCAGATGCCATTAATAATCAGCCATTAATAATCAGAGCCTCCCATCTTTTATAAAGAAGACCATCTCTGATTTCAAGGGAATCCCAATATGTCCAGTAGACCTTTGCAGAAGCATCTCGCGATGCGATCTCCCGCCAAGCTGGGCGTTCCCCAGTCTCCTTACTTAAAAGAAAAATAGAAATATTAGGATCTTCTAGCTGTTCCTTTCGCCAAATTTCAGAATTTTCCTCAGATAACGATATTCGAGCGATCAAATTTTCTTGTTTCAATGCTTCCTTTGCTTCAACTTTTCCACAATACTGACAACCAAAGTCCTCACATGGACGCCTAGACAACCCATCCGCATTTCCATGAGCAAGTCCTTTTCGATAGAGTACTTCGAAATATAATGTCATAAATTGACATAAAAAATACATCATCATTTTCGTATTATCAACGGAATAAATGTATGATGCTATTAATTGATCACTAATAATATTACTAGTACGTCGACAATTGGCCATTTATTCGACGTCATTAAGTATGACATTATGGCTGCGTTCCACTTAACGCTCATAACGATCGTGGAATCATTTCACCCTTGACGTTTATCAAATGTTAAACAAGGACAAACGATGCTCGCGAGCATTGCGAGTGTTAAGTGGAACGCAGCCTATAAAGGATCTGCGAAGCTAGCACGGCATTCTATCGATATCAAAAAAAGTACAACAGTTCCAGTAGCACTTTTCATAGTTCTACAGTTCTACCTAAAAATAATAAATAGTTCCGCACTTTTAATATGAAAAAAAAAGATTGAAAATATAGCGTGATAACGTCGCGAATCTGGCACGTCAGTTTTCCTCAAAAGTACGAGAAAATGATAAATATTTGCACTTTTAGCAACAGTTCCCGACAGTTCTACTCAAAATCTGCTAAGATACGCAGTTTCAAAACAAAATACCAAAATTTAATAATTTCTAAACATCTTATATATAGAAAATAGCATGACACTTGAAAAAAAAGTGTCGTGCTGCCTGCATAAGGCAGTTTTAGCGACAGTTTTTGTTAATCTTAGCAGAGCTCTATGCATTACAATCATTTTTAAGCAGAGTTCCGGACGCTAAGTATTTTTTTTTGAATTTTTTAACACCCGAGGCCAGCACGACACTTGTAGAAAAAGTGACGTGCTGACTATATATATCGGTTTCAACGGCAGTTCTCGTTAGTTTTCGCAGAGTTCTATGCATTACAATCATTTTTAAGCAGAGTTCCGGCCGCTACGTATTTTTTTTGAATTTTTTAATACC